GTAAAGTCAATTTTTTTGTCACATGTCGGTGAAACGTTGACTATTTTATCCGTAGGCAAAATTTTAGATTGAAACTACGTGATTTAATTGTTTGAAGAGTATTCAGTAAAGAATCTAAAGTCCAGTAATGGAGCCATAACGTGCTGCCAATGGCCCATAGAGATGAGCTCTTTTAGTCTTTTGCTAGTCTCAGTAGTATCTTCTTGGAGATCCGAAATCAGTTCAAATAACGGGTATTAGTTGTTCTAGTTCACACCACTTTATGTAATAATATTACAACAATTATATATATTCCTTGTTAATATTTTTGAAATCTACTTGAAATTTTGATACAAAGTTCTACGTTAGGCCTGTGTCGAGTCACAATTCTATGAATTAGTTCTTTTCATGTGAACTATGTCTACTGATAATAGTAATGTAGCAATTTTATTCAGTAATTGTTTCAGTTGTGAGTTTTGCATTTTGGAAATCAAATATTGTCGCTTTGCCTTACTATTCGAGAGTACTTTAGCAAATTTATTTGAATCCAGCAACAAATGCATGAACCGAACGTCAATTTAATGTCGTAGGACTTACATTAACTGACAAAGGAACTTTTTTTATATCCAGAACAATTAGATGGCAAGTTTCGCGTTCGTACTGCTGCCAAAATCGATGGTTAAATGTAAATATCTCTGCCTATTATTATAAGTATCGCTTATTTCCAATGTTTTTGTTGTGCAGTTTCTTTTTGACTTTTTCTTGTTGGCCTAAGTCAATATTATTTGTGCTATTATGATTACATATTTCGATTTTATGAAATAGAACTGATATTATCAAAAACATAATGCTAATTCAAGTCTTTCTTCTATGAAAAACTTTTATATGATCTCTTTTTTTTTTAATTTTCTATTTCAGAAAAAAAGTTCAATCGTGTAACTATCATAGATCTATTCATAATTCATAAGAAAAATCTTGATTCATTATAATAATCTTCTAAATAATCTTTTAATTTACCTCTATCATCCATAAAAGCAAATAATTGTGCTATAAACGAATCTTTTTGTTCAATTGTTTCATTATCACTATCATCAAAATCTGATTCACTTGAACTTGAATTACTATCACTTGTATCATTCTGATTACCATGTATATTATTCGATTTTTTCTTTTTCCATATAACTGGTATTTGATTATATTTAATAAATTTATCACATGCTTTTGTTGCTTGTTTTGATGTTAAACGACATAATGATTGAATATGAGAATTATTTTTATATGGTTCAACTTCATTTACTTTATGAACAATATATTCTCTACCATTAAGAAAACTTTTAACCCATATATAATCAGCTAATGATTTACGTTTAAGTATTAATGCTGGATATATATTTTGATTATTATTATGACGTCGAACAGCAACAATTGAATTTATATCATTAATATTCATTGTTAGAGTTGATAATGATGATGATGATGATGTTGTTGAAATATCTTCAAGAAGTTTTGGTTGATCAATTCGTGTTTGGTATAAACGTTTACCTTGTAAACAAAGTGATGAACGTCTTAAAGATTTTTCATCACCATCATTAAATACAACTGTATATATACTATTATCATAAATTTGTTTAATTATTGCTTGTTTTTCATCGTAATTATCATTATTATTAAAAAAAGCTGTTAAGGCACTACGTGAAAGATGTGAATTAAAATCATGATGATTTGATGATGGTATACGTATAGATACAGTATTACCAATACGTAATGGAATAGATTGTACAACTTGTTCTTCAGATATAATTATTGTATCACTAGTATCAACTAATACGACTTTTAATTTTACTTGTCTTTCAATTGTTTTAACTTGAGCTATAAATAAATAATAGAAAATTCGATTGAAATTAAAACTAATAAATTATTTATTTTGTTTTTGAAAAATTTTACGAGCAAAGTCTCTCAACTGATTTATAACTCTAGAATTTGAACTATGTAGATATATGGAGATCCTACTGAAATATGAATATCATAAGAAGATCTTGTGTCATTTACGTATTGTCACCGAAATACTGTACTCTTACGGTAGTTTTTAACTGAATACTATGATACCGCTCAAGAAGAAACGTTTTCGAATCTCGACTTGAAACGTTGCATAGAGACAAAACTTTAATAAGAACAGTTCATATTGAAAGTTTCCAGCCTTTTGATTTGCTTCTTTTTCCTCATTAGAAGAATTGATCGTAAAAAAAAACTGTTAGAATAATTATGTGAGATTAAAGTATGAAACACAAAAACTAATTGCTGTTATTAATAGAAAAATGTGTTTAACAAATTGACTGAAGGGCTACTCCCTACCGTTCTCAGAAAAATGAAAACTAAGATAATTACATTCTAAGATTGGCTGACGAGAAAACTCTTCCAACTGATAATTTCCGTTCGAGCTCATGTTTTTTTCATAGGTATCACTCATAGTGTAGATAAAAATCCTAAAAGCGTTCGTACCATTATGCCTTGCTTCTCGAGTTCTGGTCATCTTACTTAACTTTCTGCCTATATCAAGATATCACGAGTGCAATCACAACAACAATTTTTGGTCTTAAATAACTCTCCCATAATAGCTTTCATTGTTCTTATGATATTCTGCAAGTTTCAGTTCAAACAAACATTTCTCTTTCGAGATAATATGTTCACGAAAAGCATGACTTTCACACAGAACCTTCAAAAATAGTTCAGTTTTAAGGCATACGACATCTTAAGAAGAAATCATCCATTTGAGCTGAAACTTTCAAGATATCATGAAACCTATTTGTTTGATGATGTTTCAGATGAAATTTTCTTGTTGTAAGGTTTTTTTTGTAATATCCTGGGACAGACTGAACAATCAGTAAAAGAAACAAAGCTCTAGAAGAAAGACCTAAAGGCACGAATTTGATCTACGCTGCAAGTCTTACCTATGAGAAAAACTATGAAATTAAACGAAGATTATCAATGGAAAGAGTTTCCACATCAGTTCTGTTTTCTCAATAATAACATGATTTTTAAATGAGCATCTCGGGGCTTTTATAAAATTGTTAATTTAATTTCCGTCATATTCAACTTATAAAAAATGGAATTCGTTTTTTTTAGAAGAAAACAGATTTTCATATGTTTGCATTGGAAACGATCACATCTACCTTCCGAATTATTCTTCTCAACAGAAAACGCCCAAAAATGAGTCGACATGACATCTAAGAGACTTCAAAACACGTTTTATGACTATGCTTGCTGCTGTTTCCTAAAATCTTAGATTTGCTCTCGCTGATTGAAAATAAGCAGCTAAAAGAACGTAGAATAATTTCGATGAATTTCTTCACGCTTCTTAAAAAAACATTAAGTTCACCCAACCATGATGAGAATAAGAAAAAAATAAAAAACGACGTAATTGACACGCATCATATCAATACGCTATTTTTGTCCTTTCTCTCTGATCACTATTCATAAATCATAATTAGTATTTTAGTTATTCATAACGGTGTGAAATACATTTGATGATTGTAATTATCTTTTATCAAAAAAAAAAAAGAACTGGGGCAACTTACAATTGATTTTAATAGATCATTTTCAAGCGAACTCATTATGTTCATGTCGTAGAAAAGAAAACTACGTTTTTACTGAGGTTTAACAAGCTATAAAGGAAGTTTATTTATAAACAATTCTTAAAAAATATATAGGACAGTTAGTGATTGTTCTCTTCAAATCTATCTAAAATATAGGAAAATATTTGCTAAAAAATGATGTTTTTCATTTTTTTTTCTCGGTTTCTACTTTTTTTGCTAACGCACCATCGAATTCTATGTGAGATTTCATTCTATATATTTAATTTTATTTATTTAAAAACGCATAACGAAGTCTTTTTTTTTAAATTAAACTTTGATTTTAATATATATTCAAACACTTAGATACATAGAGTTTCATTTTTACAGAGCTTTTGAGAATTTCAACTAATCACTCTTTTGTTCCACATGAAAAGTAAAAATTTTTAAAACAGAACTTCGTCATGCCATGTATTCTGACATGCTCTTTCTAACAGAAATAATTAAATATATAGAATGAAGAAGGTCGATAGAAAATTTTGGGTTATCAAATGAACTTGCCTTCAAGCCTTAATCGTTAAATATCTCTCTCAAACATCATGATATACAATTAAAAATTTTACCCTAGTCTTTTCATTACAGATTCAACATATTCTGTAGATTTCAAACGATTTGAATATATTGAGCGCGAAATCTGTGCTTAAGAAGGGTGACTTTAAGTCAATACTGTAAATTCGCGATATCCTATTCATGTTATTAAATATAATAAAATCATAATTACCCAAGAGCTTTTGTTTATTTGCTTATGAAACTTAGGGATTTCTTTTTTTTTAGTAATTTGTAAAAATTTCATGTTCGAGGCTATGTGAAAATCCCAAAAATTGTGCTCTAACCCTTCTAACAACTGGCATCACTATAATGTGCGTTATGGCGACATTTTTTTTGAAAAATGTTTTACAGTCTGATTATGTTGATGCATCTGAACCGTCTGTTCTCGATTAATTGGAATTTTTTCCAATAAATAATTCGAATTTGAATAGAAAAAATTCTCTATACTTGTTTATAGCTGTTGCAACCGAAAGTCATAAATGCTACTACTGGCTCTTATGAATATTGTGAACAAATACGCGACTTGGAACACTTCTGCTAACTTGGATTTGAAACAAAATTTACCTGAACAAAATGCTCCTCGATATTTTGCACTAACTGAGCAACCGATCGGAAGACAAGCTGATTCGATTGATGTAGATGTATTTGTATTTGTCTCATTGATAAGCATGGATCGAGATGGTGTTGATGAAGACCGTCCTTTTCTTTCACTGTACATTCCGAATATAACGAAAATATATCTATCTATATATATATATATATATGTATATATAAACTCTATCTGAAAACAAAGATCTTATTTAATAAAACAAAAAACAAAAACAAAAATGTTTTTTTTTTCTTTTAATCTTGTTCATTCACTGTTAATTTTTCTTTCATACAGTTACATAATGATTGATCGTCTAGAATAAAATTATTAAATTTTTATTTGAGATTTGTATTAATATATATATATAGCTTACTACAACATTGCTCTTGTTTTTGCATTTCTTTTCGATAACGTTCAGTTTTTCCAATACCTAACTTTGGTACACCTTTATTAAGACCTTCGATTAGTAAACATGCTTTACATATTGGCATGGATGAACAATATGAACATCGTTCACATACACGTTGTACAGGTAATTTAGCTGTTTGTTTAACAATTAATTGTTCACCACTATGAATTATATCAATTATTGATGATGGTCTTAAACGTTCTAAATCTTTAATATATGTTCTTATATTACCACGATATGCATTTGGAGAATAAATACATTCTGTAGAAAAATAATCCAAACGTTTATAAAATGCATAAAGAACAATTTCTTTTTCATATGCATATTTTAATGGTTTACATCGAGGAATAACAGAACTTTCATTTTCATCTGATTCATCACCGGTTATTATCGATGTACATCGTTTAAGACGTGCTATATCACCACGAAGAATATTCATTAGAATTGTTTCAGCAATATCATCTGCATTATGACCTGTTGCTATTTTATTTACTGCTAATTTCATTGCACCACGATCAAGAGCTTGACGACGAAAGACACCACAGAATGTGCCTGAGAGAAACAAGAAAGAATAAGTAGTAAAATTTCTGAAGTCTAATTCGCATATCATTGAAATATAGTACTGATCAAAAATATAACAATAAGGATATTTTTAATCTTTTCGTTTGCTTTTCGGATTGATCCTTCAGCCAGAACACATGCATACAATATGTTCTATTCGAATATTAGTTCAGAATTTTTCGTAAAGTCATGTATTTTAATAAACAAATACCTATACAAACAAAGTGGGTTGTTTTACCTTGATCAAAATTATAAGAACATACATATTTACACAGCTGTTTGCAGAGAATTAGAGATACGCAGGGCTACCATATTTTGTAGGAGAGGGTAAGGGTTCGAAAGCTTTTCTCTGTCCGGAGTTATATAGGATACGAACAAACCTTACCTACACATATCTACATCGAATGAACGCTAGTCAATAATACGAGAGTGACGAATCACACGCTTGTTTTTTCTGTTCTATTAGCTATCGTTTAGGTGAATGACTCCTATATTTCACAGCATTTGTTTCAAAGATTTTGTGTTGTAAAGAAAATTGGTCGCCACAAAGTCACAATACATAAAAGAATTAAAGTTCTTACGCTTTTAGAAGCTGCTTTCATGTATGCAAATATTCATACTAAGCTGAGCGTTTCAAATGGTTGCATCAGTAATATCGTCAAAAAGAGAAAAATTAAAGTTACTATTAGAAAATCGTACTTGTCAAGGTCAGAAGAAACACACCACTATTTAGCAATGTTAATGACAGGAAAAATCGTTGAAAATCTAATCGACAAATAGCGTCTGAATGGACTTTATCAAATGAAAAGTATATGAGTTCTCGAACAGTTTCGTCATCGATTATTTAATTCAAGACATAAATGTCACACAAGTAAGCGAAAATTATATCGAAAGTTCCATTATTACTATGTTCAGTTACAATTCGCTTGTAATCATTATGGATAGATTTTAATGAATTGAAAAATGTTATTTTCTCCGATGAATCTCGTTTTGAGATTTTCGCTCGCCATTTTTAATTCGAGGTTGAAACGGCATCTAATTTTTTGGCTGCATGTCCCAGACAGAGATATTCATTGCAGTTGAACATCTGTCGCTGTCGAGATAGCTTTTGAGAAGTTCTCTGAAAACCTCTTCCGTCACTATGTTAAATTAACACAGTTAGATCGAATCCATTTGATTCACCGCAATTCTGAATGTTGGATGTGTACAAACTTAAATCTGGTGTAAGTTCATGTAATTTTACAATTTGTCGCAAAAAAGAAGTTGTTGTTGTTGTTGTTGCGATAGTATTTTTGAAACATCTTCCATGCCGTCGTAGATATCTTTAGTTCAAGATGAAGGTGTTTCAATTAGCATCTTGACAGTCATGATGATCAAAAACAAAATTGATCCTTTGGTGCTTTTATGATGGTTGAATGAAAGGCAAAATTAAATACATATTATTAAACTTCAATTAATATCATATATGATAGAAACAAATTTAAACAAAATTATTCATGATACTGTACACACGATAATGCATCTTGCCATAAATCATGTTTTACTATAAATTAGTTTAAAACAATCTAAAGTTAACATTTTAGATTGACCAAACACGTTACCTGATTTCAATCGAATGGAGAAATTTTGAAATATTATTGATAAATAGATCACAAATTATTATCTTATTACTATACATGACCTTCAACAAACAAATATCAAACTGTGATGGGAAAATACCAAGGAAAGATATGCCAAGGTTTGATTCACTCAATGCGAAGCATATGAAGACCTGTATTCATGCGAAAAGGAAACACTTAAAAATTTTGACTTTGCTTTATGAATAAAACTATGTAGATATCTATTCATTCTTATAATTTTGATCGGAATAAAAAGAGTCTTTTTCTATGAAAATAAATAACTTTAAGAAACATTTTGGATAAAAATTCAGATAGAACATACTTGAATGCATCTGTGTTGATAAACAGATCAATTCAAGAAGAGAAAGAGGTTATTAAAAAAATATGCTTGTTCTTACATTGTTGACTAGTACTAGATTAATTCTCTCTCTCTCTCTCTCAACTTTTAATTATAAAACTCATGACTAGGCTTATAATTATATTCAAAATTTAACATGAAACTTGTTTTCATTCATTGTCATGGTTAAGTAAGATTTGTAGAGTCGAACTGTCTTTAACTTATTGCGATACGCTTTAAGTTTTTAATCCAAGTTCGACAGTTGAAATTAACTATTTGTTTGTTTTTTTCATTAAATACTAAATTTATATGTTTTGAATCAGACAATATAAAAATTAGTAAATAATTTTATATAATATATATTTCAACAGTGATTAATTGAAAGTATTGCAAACTAGGATCTACAACAGTTATTTTTGGGTTTTTTGTATTCACAATCAATTCTTTCTACATGATTTCTGAATCAATTAAACCAATTCTATATACTAATATCGATTCTTTTGAAAATGTATATACTTACAATTATTCTTACGGCCAACTGCTTTTACAATTTCATCCTAAAAAATAATACATCTACTTTCTTCATAAAAATCCAAGATTTCTTTTACCATACTCCAACCATATAATTCTTTATATGTAAGAATAATTAATGGTAATTCATATTGTTGTTGATTACGTTTTACTGTTTCTAGTGAATCATCTCTATAACCAGTTATACCTTCATCAATTGATAATAAAACAAGTTTAAGACCATATGAATGTCGTTCATTAAGTAATTTTAATACATGTGCAAGAACAGTAGAATCTAAGTAAAATAATAATAATAATTATTATTATTAATTAAAAATATCGTTTTTCTTAATACCTTTTCCACCACTTGCAGCAACAGCAATTGTTTCTCCTGGCTTAAATAATTGTTCTTTAACAATTGTTTCATGTATTTCACGTTCGAATGCTTCAAAAAAACATATTTTACAATATGGTTCACTTGTTTTTGGTCGAACCAAAGCGGCCGGTCGTTCTCCACGACATGATACACAAACCGTGCTCGGCATTAAAAATAATTGTAAAATTGAAATCAATCAACATGTAATACCATGACACACCAACGAGAAATCAAACAATGATGAATCATTGAAAGTTCGACTAAACCAACAGAGGTTTCTTGCAACAGATGGCACTTATTTACACCTTTGAAATAAAAAGAATCAGAAAAGTATATTTTGTTAATACACACACATTCGACACCATCCGCAATTTTCTATAAAGGAAACATACGTTACTTTTTTTTCTTCAAATAATCATTATAGTGTAACTGTTGTATGTTTCAAAAAGAATTATTTAATATATAGTTTTATAGAACGGTGTTTAAGTTTCCTTATGCACATTTTGAAATTCTCTTTATTCTTGACAATGTCAAATCTAAATCAGTCAGATGAGTTGTTTTTTTTGCAAAAAAAAAATAGATTGGATTTTAGAAAAAGTATTTACATGCCAATTCATTATCAACTGAATATGAAAAAGATAGTTCTTCTTTTCGTGTAAAACTTGTGTCGAATTTCATTTCGCCATGTCTTCTATGGTTTAAATAGATATAGAGAAGATAGTATTGGTCTCGATCGCATTGGGATCAAAACGAATGGTTTAGCACATGTCTACTATCAATCAAAGTACATAATGTCAAGCCAATATATCGAAGCAAAGCCCTATGTATACAAATTTGGTACTACAGCTTATAAACTATTTTCCAACAGGTTATTACTTTTACCATTAAACTAAAGAATTTAAAATATGAGTGATTCAAAGCGAACCTAAATTGAAATTTTTTTTGATATACGTAAGTATCTGATAATACAAAAACTATTAGTATCGATATATTTATTTAATTGTTCGACATTTTCAAGAAATGAGTTTCTAGAATTTTACTGAAATTTATTGATCATATTAGAATTCTACGAGATTCAACTTCTTTTGAAAGTTTATAAATAATGAGCTGAAAAAATACTTGTATATAAGATATTTAAAGATTACAGTAATTAATGTATCAATTGTTTGTTTATGCTTGATACGAAAAAACAATATTATAGAGAGCTTAGCTTCCTGGTTACGCCACTATCCTATATCAAAACTGAATACCTGAAAAGTTGAACATTTCAATCTCGGTTCGTTATAGACAACTCATATTTTTAATTCATTAGTTTAGTGGTACACAAGTGATGATTTAAGTCCAACGTGATCCATCTTTTAACTTACTGTACAAAACGTGCTCTTGTAAAATAGAAAAAAAGCAAAACTAATACAAAACCTTTATTCCGTCCATTACTTACTTAAAATGAAACACAATTACCCATTGAAAGATTCTCTTAAAAGTAGAATATTGATAAGACTAATTTTTTGAACTTAGAAGTGTAATTTTCTTGGTATTTATATCAAATTAGGAAAGAAATCTTCTTCACTGATTATTTAATTATATTAAATCGTTCTGAAATGTGTATAGCTTACAAAATTATTCTTTCTTTTTGTATGACCAAAAAAAAAAAGGTAAACCATCTTTGATTTTAGTATACGACATGGTATAGTTTGTAAATAGATTGATATATTATTCTTGTTTAGTTGAATCTACTTTTTCTCTTCATCTACATTCATACGTGTATGTACACGTATTTAAGCAAGTGTTCTGCCGGGCAAATAATCACTTGAGTGATCAAGAGAGGGTAAAGCATTAATATAGAAAATTTTAGGTAAATAAAATTGAGAAATATCTTGAAATCTGATTTTTTTTCTGTTATTAAAATTCATATTATTTTCTATGAAGAATATATCTTAAAAGATTTTCTATCGGTTAAACTCTATAACTTTTGATAATATCTTTATATCATTCAGAAAAAAAAAGAAATACAAGATATGAAAAAGAATAATTTTTATTATATTCATTATATTCACGTCTTCATAATATTTCTCCCATTTCCTATACTTTCTATCATTTCTCTTAGAGTACAACAAATTGACAAATATACAAAAAAAAAAATAATAATAATAATTGCACGGAGACACTAAACACTAAAAAGAATGTTAGCATTTAACCCAAGTCAATTAAGTCTTATACACACACACACACTCACACAAATAAAAGAAACTTTGTTTTTTTTCTTCTCTATTTTTAACTAACATATAAAATTTTAACGAAATTGAAAGACACTTGATGTCTTTTGTGGTACATGTTCCAAAGTTAAACTTTGAAACCATTCGGATGAATTATGATAATAATAACCTTGTAGTTTTCCTGTACTTAATTGTAAACATATATAATAAAAACCAGCAAATGATGCGCCTAAATATAAAATATTTTTCATTCATAGAAAATTATAATAAGAAAACAAACCGGTAATATCTCTAACAGTATGATCAGGTACAAGAAAATGTTCTTTCCATCTCATAAAAACATAATCAGCATTTTTTCCTCTTAATAATTGATCATAATCAAATGAATCATTATTAAATGTATCAATATAAGGTAAAAATGCATCAAATTTACTCCAATGTTGTTTATCAATATCTTCATCGGCTTCCCATTTACGTGTTAAAAATGGATAACGTTTTGAAATTATTTCAGCATCAAAAAATGTTGACAATATTGGATATTCATCTATTAAACCAGTTATGCCTAAATATCCACATATATATGAACGTTCTAAATCAACATGATGAAATATAACATCGACATTGTAAGACTTCCCTTTGGACCTTTGATTACCAGTAAATCGAGATGATGTACATAATATAGAAGAATTTTTATTTGGTTGGCCCAAATTCATATCAGAAAATTCAAGAGGACCCAGTAGTTTCATTTTTCTGTGTAATTACACGGTATGGGATTAAATTATAGACAACAGAAAAAGAAACCTAGAGAACAGAACATACAACAAATAAACAAGAGCACTACCGAGAAACAGTCAAATAACCAATTGGATTTTTGTTACAGTGACAGAGTTCGCTAGTTTACGACCTTTCAAAACAAAAGTCATGTATGAGTATCACAGCTGGACATAGAACAACTTTACTGCCTTACTCCGACTTGACACGCGACAGAAGTGGACATAAATAATAGTTTTGTCTGATCCTGTGCTCAGCTCTATCAAAGATATAGACACAATGAATTTGTATAAGTCTTTAAAATCTAATCTTTCTTTCTTTAACATTATTGTAAAATACTCAATTAATAATCGAGTCTGTCTTGTATTGACTACAAAGATTGTGACATAAGTTTATGAGAAAAATTATACTCGTATGATTCAAATAAAACAAAAAACCGTCGATGTATTGAGAATTAACCTACGGTAGTTTGATACTTAAACAGATGGCTATCTTTTGACTACCATTCAGCTGCTGTAGTGCAAACAAACGTGTAATAGAAATTAAACACGAAAGCGTAAACTTCTGAGTTGCAGTTAGTCATCTATGGGCTATTGCATAGAATTAAACAAGAATTATTTTGAGAACAAAACAAGAAACTATTAAGTAATCCAATTAGCGTGTAATATTGTCAGATGATCAAATTTTTATGAGATATTCGTTAATCTAGTTTTACATTATATATTATTTTCAAAAGAAGTCAAACCGTGCATGTTACTAAACAACATTTTAAATGCTAATTTATAATTCGACATAAAAAAAGAAATTGATATATGAGGATTCGTAATTTTTTATGTATTTGAGACGAGAATGCGCATTTTTTTTTGCAATACGCTATTCTCACTTAATGTGTATTCACTAGCAGTGTTTATCACTATAACTCTATATTTTGTTTCTCCTAAGATACATCATAAGGCTAACGAAAATCGGAGCTCTTCATGGATTGNTCCTGCTCATCTTCGAACTCGACCGAGACATTGTTAAGACTGAACTGTGTAGAAAATTTCATCGTGATCGGACTCTCCTTTCGAAAGTTATCGTGTAAACGGCCGGACGGCCGGCCGGCCGGCCGGACATACTGACCGATTCTAGAGTGTACTCACTTTTTGAGTACACAACAAGATATGTATAGTGTTGATCTGGATCAGGAAATTCATTTCCGTCTTATATGCTTTTCTATTAAGAATATATCATTTGACCCAATTCAATCGAATCCAAGCGTAAATATATAGATATCATTTCTGTATTTTTTCGTAATAAAATGAATCCCTAGATCCAAACCAGTGCTCAATTAAGAATTGTATTCTTTCATTTAAATATTTACAAATGAATTTTAACTATAAGCAATCGGATTTATTACTATTCCTAGCTGATAAATCTAATTCATTTGTCCTATTATCTAACTGTATCATAGAATGAAATATTATTTGACCTCCTTTTGTCGATAAATAAAAAACAAAAAAAAAACTTACAATTGCTCTTTCAAATATCCATACACATGGTGTCCATCTTTCATTTAATAAATCAAAATATTCACATTGAACTGTTTGATTATTAAAAACTTGTTGTCGTTGTTGTAAACGTTCTTTTTCAAATTGAATATAATTAAGTTTAACAACAAATGTTGCATGGAGATTTAATTCATGTGATAAATATGTTCGATAACGATATAAAACTTCTGATATATTTTCGCATGAATACATTGGTCGTTCAAGATTTTGATCAAGAATTACTTCAAATAAAGTCCAAAAGAAACAATCATGTTTATCAATTTGTTTTAATAATTTATCAATAATTATATCAGCTGTTGTTTCTTTTTCAAAAATATACATTGCATAACCATTAAATTCATCAGCACGAGATTCAAAGTAAACGGAAACCAATGCACCATCTAATTTACGTGGAATAGATGGATTATTACGCATGGATATTAATATTTCTATACATGTTCGTTCATGTTCAAATTCATCATCAGTTACATCAAATAATTCACGAAAAAATTTACAAAGATTACTCATTATTTCAAAATTTGCTTGAATAGATGGAGCAACATGAATATAAGCTGGTGATAATTGAAATTGAGATAATGTTGAAATCGATGACAAAGACTCACGAGAACCTAGAAATAGAAAAAATGTTTCAAATTGATATCTAAATCAATCTTACAAAAGAAATGATCATAAAAAATGACATGTCATCGAATATATGAAGGTTTAAAATGAATCATGAACACAAATAGTGTATCTTTTGAAAGAGAAGCTAACTTTAGGATATTCTAAAATTCCAGATGGAATGAAATGTTTTTAAAATTATCTAGATAAAAAAAGTCCTTGTTCTATCTGAAACTTGCAATATATCACTAGAACTATTAAACCAATATAAAGATAAAAACTTAGCACTCATTCAATTGTTTTCGAAACAACAGTTACAACATATCATTCTCATGGTAGCATAAACATAATTACAAAAGAAAGATATTAAGGACGTGCATTATGCCAACTTTCCTCACAACCTTTTTCTGTCCTAATTATTCCCAATTCCCAAAAGATAATAATCATCCTTACTATGAAAAGATCGGTTTCGTTTAAGTTTTGCCAATGATGGACTAGCAGTAAGATTTGATAAGCCTTGTTGAATAAGTTCATTTTGATTTCCAAAACGTTTTATATCCATATCATCTAATGATATTTGACGATCATCATCCGTTTCATTATTCGAATTACTCGATGCTAATGTCGCTTGTGATATAAGACATGGTGCAAATGTTGCAATAAGATTCGATAAAGTCATACCGTTTATTTCCGATAACATGGCAACAGTATGGATATGCATTAACATTGTTCTTAATGTTAAATAATGTATTGGAAAATTCTTTTTTAAATCTTTAAGTAATGCACGATAATATTGTATTAATTGTTCATTTGTTATTGTATTATCAACTGTTGAACGTAACCATGCATGATAGTTTTCAAGTGTACCAATTAATGGTATATCTAATTGACGAAGAAAACGTTTTAACGCATTAGCAACATCGTGTTCAGTATAATTTTCAATTGTTAATGTAGCAGTAAATGGATCTTCAAGACATTCATTTAATAATTGTTTGATTTTACTTTCTTGTCCTGCTTGACGATATACACCTGAATAAATGAAAAATAAACACAAATGTTTATTTTAATGCGATAAAAATCTCTCAATATAATAAAAATTCTTTTCAGTTTTGTTTTCAAAAAAAAAAAAGAAGAAATAACTGAATATTCGATAAATGATTTTGCTTTAGTTATATGCTCAATAATAATCATTTAAAACAAATTGACACCAACGTTCACTGAAGTGGATGACAGTGTAGTCAGGACTTCAGTGAATCTTGTGCTGGTGACTTACCGTTCAGTACCTATACCAATACAGCACATGTCTATATCAACTACCTTCATGAGTATAAACATCAAAATACATTTTTATAACATTCGACATAGTTCTTACATATATGCTACATTCATACTGTTCTAGGGCAAAGGGTGAACGTTTTATTGGCGAAGAACAAATTTAAATAAAATACTGGATGAATTATTTCAAAATTATTTTCATTTTTAGTAGTACTAATACAATGTTGAAGAAAACCTCTAAAAATCAATAGTATCATCATCCGATATGTATGTAGATAGGAAATGAATTGATTAAATCATTCTTCTTTTCTCTTTTTCTATCAATTTATAGAATTATCGAATCTTAAATCAAATCACTCTCATATCTGATAACATAAACGAATAAAAGTTATTGTCTTGAATCTTTTGTACCAATTTCTTTCTTTCTTTCTCTCAATTATTGAATCTTTATCACGCACTGAGTTTTAATAAGACAAACAAGAATGTTATATTAAAAAATTACCTTTCGATAGTAAACCATGTTCAAAAAGAAAATTAATAAATCTTTCAACAATAACTGGTATATTTTGTGATGTTAATATTTGTTCATTTAAATTTGTTAATGTTTTAACTTTAATTGCTTGACGAAGACATGTATATAACATATCCATTAATTTTATAATAGGTGATGATAAATAAAGAAAACGATTTGAAACAAGACAAAGAACAACACCTGTAAATTCTTTTGTTTTTTGATAATCTAAATAAAAATCAACAAATAAATCATAAAGAAAAAAAATCATTTAAATAAAATTTACTTAAACTAGAATATTTTCTTAAATTAACTTCATCAAATATTGTATCCGAACAAATAACAAAACGTCCTGAATAAACAATTGCTATAACTTGTTGTTTTTCAGCATTTATTCCTTCTTGAATATTTAATTTCATTAATAGAATAAAATCTGAATATATTAATTGATAATAACAATATTGTCGTTTAATTATTTCACGTATCCATAAAGAACGTTCAAGATCATTTGGAAAAACCCATACATATTCATTGATGGATGATGTTTGATCATCAACAATTATTGTAGATTGACTATTTATATTTATAACAGGTGTATTAGTTAAACGACATTTTAATGAAACAGAATTGACTGATTGATTACATATAGCAAGTACATTATTTAAATCAATTTCAAATACACATCGTTGAAGTTTATCAGTACTACGAGTTGGAGGATATACTCTAAGACGATCATTTTCATAACGTGTTAAAAATTCTTTAAGAACTCCATGTTTACTAGATAAATAAACAATTGTTTCGTTTACATCATCGAATTTTGTTTTCATTAAGTCAAATTCAGCTATACCTAAAAATAAAAGTTTATGATTATCATATATATATATGAACGAAATTCTGGCTGTTTCAGCTGACTATTAATTACAATTAAGGCTCTTCCTCTCAAAAATTGATCTTAGCCTAAGTACATTTCAATTACATGAAATTTTCAGTGCGATACCATGATGTTTGCGAGCTTAATTTTTTCTGTTTGAAAGAGTATATCAGAATGCAGAGCACGATAGAGTCTTTTTTTCTTAAATAATTACTTTTTAATGGAAGAGAAGTTCAATGTCTCAACAATTGGTGCTCTAATTATAAAAGTACTCTTTTATACAATAATAATAATGCTTAATTCAAAAAATGGGCCTTTATCATACCCTGCATCTTGACATGCTCTTTCAAGCAAAAGAAGAAAGTCATTGGCTACAATGAAGCTCGTTTGAGAATTCTGGAAAGCATGATCAAAGAAAAACATAAATAGAGAAAAAATGAACAAGATTTTTCCAGCAGAGAATGACTGAAGTTTTTAGAAAAATGATGTGTCACATAAAAAATCATGTCATTTATGTAAGAGTAGGCTTTGGACTATCTTTCCATACATTTATTTTTATCAAGACTAGATTTATAGAAACTTTTTCTTAAAAAATGAATTTCTAGAGATCTTTCCAAGTTTCGAAATAAAAATTTTTGTCTTGCTATTATTTAGAGATTCTGAAGAAGAATTTGGGCTATTTGGAATTGGTTTTGAACTTCTNAACAGATTCTTACAAGGATCTGTTAATACGACTTAGTGTAAGAAATCAGAGACTACGATTTTCCGTACGATTTTCCTCTGATCGTATCAGATCAAATATGATCAAACGTACGATTCTTGTAAGGTCTTATTATCTGAATGCTCGCCCTGGGGACTCTAAAAGCAAAATCAATGCATCTGGAAAATTCAAAGAAGATATGTGTGAATATAAAATCGATCATAAATCTATCAGGTGATTGCGCCCGAAACATATTCAATTTTGAATATACAATGAATTAAATATTATTATACTTGATACGAAGCCTTTTTACTCCTGACTAAATATAAAATAACGAAAAACAAACATCTCAAGTATCAAATTATTCTTCTTATCTTCGAAAGCCACAAATCAGCTTTGGATATAGACAGAAAGAAAAAGAAAAAGAAAAAAATCAGTTCTTATTCTATTTAAGCGTGAAGAATGTAAGTTATTTTCGTTTTTATTTGAAGGTAAGTGTATCGTTGTGCAAAGTGAATAGACGAAGGTAAGCGTTTGAAACAAGTTATTATATTTTATCATTGACTATTGAAACGATTGTATTTCCTTCTCATTGTATTGGATCATCTGATGAGTATTTATTTTCATTAGGAAAAATAAATCTTTTACTGACAAATGGTTTCAGAAAATATTTCTTCTAGAAAGTGCATATGCAGAGAAAAGAAAGAGTTTTATTCATATTTGAATGCTTCATGGATTGCCGGTAACTTATTAAATGAAATCTCATTTATCAGTTGTCAAGGTGTTAAAGAAAGAAGCTGAACACGCAGGGTGTGGGTATGGATGTCAAATATATTTTTGAGAACTTTTTAGCTATTTTAAGTCTACAATTTATCGGCACCTCAACTATATCGGTTTTAGTTATCAGTATACAGATCTATCTAACAATAAAGCCCAACTACTTCATTGTACCTTATTAATACTCAAATTTAGCAGTACAATAAAGTATTTGAGCAAATCATTGCTAGGTAGATTTATATAATACTAACTGAAACTGATATGCTTGTAATACACATAGATAGTGAATTTCAAATAGCTCAGAAATTCACGAGGATAGTTTTGATATCATGTATTATCTTATATCCATACGTATCTCATCAATTAGAGGAAAGGTAAAATTCTTTTCTTCTCTTTCCATAAACAGAAAATTATAATTTATCTTTTTTTTTAAATAATATATACAGTTGCTATAGCCATAAAGATTAATCGAAATCAAAAAATGAATTTAAAAAGCTTGGTAACTGCATATACGACTCAGCAATGGCTATTGATTGTATATCATTACATGGTATTTACCGTAATTCGATCGAATACGAACGTTTGCATACTGTATTGTTTGACACAAGGAATGCGGTGAAGTACGGTGTCTTCGCTTGTTTCTCTTGCTACACGCAGATTAATAAAACTGATGTACACTAGGTGTTGTTGCAATAAAAATGACGAAGAATACATTCTACTCACAGGCTCCGAAACTATTTTGAATCATCAACGTGTCTTATTGTTCTTTTTATCTAAATTGAAAAGAAAGAATGTAAGAAGGTAATTTCCCGAGGTGGTGTATTATATTTGACGTCATATTTTGTCCATATGCAAGCGGCAATGAAACAAGAAAAGTGCTAAAAGGATATAATTAGAAAAGTATGTGGCAAATTTGTGGCACCCGTTGTGAATAGGTTAACTAACATATACTCATATACCTATGAGCTCGGTTTTGTCCTTGCTATCTTCATTCATGTAAACTAGTGTAAGCCAAGGAAACGTAATTTATATGCTTACATGTCACGTTAGAAGTTTTCAGCCTCCTTCTCTTGTGATTGTAAAACATCATAAAAATCCAAACTCTTTTATAGTTTTTTAATCTCAATGAAGTCTGCACATGAGCTGAATATCACGTACCGAATTCATACAGGGAGAATGACTATAGATGACTCTAGCTCCTACTCACACACTGCTTAAGCCTTCCTCAAAGCAGGATTTCCAAGCTGTTAAGCGCTATTGAATTAAAAGTTTTTACATGAAATCTAAAACTCCTGAATAAAACTGAGAAATTCTACGAAAATAGCAAAATGATCTTGCTTCGAAAAACGGCCATAAGAATCAATACCACGAAACATACGCTTTCAAACAAAAATGCAATTTGACTGTATCTCCTTGTCTTAGGCCCGAAGTCATATTAATTATGAAAGCGCACATATTAGAGCATCTACTAGAGTCTTTATCTCAAAAAATGCTATTTTCACAACGTTCGCTATTCTGAAAAGGACCTGCATCAAAACTTTTGTCACTTTTGACTTTTCTTTACCTATCCTTTCATTCGAGTTTGAAAAATGTTAAAAGTTTCCTAATGGTGCCAACGTAGTGACTTCATTGGCATTATATTTTACAATTCGGCCCTAATTTTTTGGAATCGGCTGGATTCACCTGTTTGAGACGTCCTTCTTGTAAATCAAACTAACCTAGATTCGTTAGCAGCAAAACAACACTTGGATAAACAGAGATTTATCGAACAAATGTGTTTTTTATTCTTTCATTTTCTTCAGGTGAAATCATGAACGTGGCACAACATCGAATGAAAATATGTCTCGTTATTCTCTTGTATTTGTTAAATTCGACACGTAAGTCAACAGTTACTTTTGAAAAAGAAAACGTAGTTCATGTTAGTTGGAGGTCCTCATGAACGACGTTTGTTGGAATCTTTGCTCAGTAAACAACAACACAACCGACTTGAAAGACCTATTCGAAATGATTCTGAAACTGTATCTGTCAGTGTGAAATTTAGCCTTTTACAAATTATTGACGTCGTAAGTGAGATTAAAATTCTACTTTGTCTTATTCTTTCGTTTTTTCAACATGAGTAGGATGAAACGAACCAAATTCTTATAACTCGCGTCTGGATGATTCAAGTATGTGTGCTAACCAATAAAAGTTGATATTTTTTCCACATACCTATGAAGAAGTGGCAGGATTATACTATGATCTGGAAACCAGAAGAGTATGGTCATATTCAAACGATACGGGTACCAAGCACAAGAATTTGGATTCCGGATATTGTTCTGTACAACAGGTAAATCTCGAAAAACGTATGTTCCAAATGAAGACTTCTTTTTTCAAAGTGTCGATGAAAAGTTCGAAAGTCAAGCGGACATCAATGTGGTTATAGAATCTACTGGAGAAATTCTGTACGTTTCACCGAAAACATTCAAATCAAGTTGTTTGCTCAATGTTAAGTTATTTCCTTTTGTAAGTGTCTCTTGCTCTCAAAAATCTTTGACTAATATCTTATTTAATCGCAAATCTTTGTCTTTTATTGGATACACAAACATGCTGGTTGAAATTTGGTTCATGGTCATACGACAGTTCTCGTAAGTGTTAGAACATGCTTTATTTGTATCGTACAAGACAAAAGAAAGATAATTGAAAAAATTTGAGCCGCCTAAAATGCTGCAGTGCCCATGTACACGATTATTATTTAGAAATCGATCTGACGACACCAATTGGCGAAAATGATGTGACTTCATATCGGGAAAATGTCAAATGGGATCTGAAAGGTAAATAATATAAGTTTATAATAATTCATTTGTATGTTCTGTTTCAGCTTTTACCGCATCACGATATTCAGAGAAATACGACTGTTGTCCAGGGATATATCAAGACGTTAAATTATTTATTGAAATTCGTCGACGTTCTCTTTACTATCTGATAAATATCATTGGTACTGAAACCAAAGCTACAAATGCATTTCTCATCTGAGTGCATTTTCCAGAAATATACGATGCTTGATTCGATGGAAAGCATCAGTGGTGACACTTTTCTAGTGTTATGCAGGGCTTCCAAAGAATACATATAGCGAATACTGCGCCTCTCTAGCCGATGCAAATCTCCACATATGCATAATTTACTGTTACGTTGATTTTGGCATCTCTATTGCATTTTTCAAGGAAAAACTGAGTCATTTCTGCTCTGAGATTAGTTGAACAAGTCTCAAATTGTAATTTATGCTTACGTTAGGTGTGCTGCACCTAAAAAACTGACAATATTCGATGAGTGGTTATAGAAGTCAAAAGTTGACGATTTTGTCATGTTTTGTCAGTGCTTCGACATGTGAACGCACTAATAAAAATATCTGAAGCAATCGATTTACCATTTTCACAACTGCTCATTGAACATTGCTAGTTTTTCAAATGCAGCATGCTTAAACATAACCTTCGATTCGGGAT